ATTATAAAGAATCCTTCTGCCAGAATTAATATGTGGGGCTTATCATGCACAAAACTAACAAAGAGTCTGCTACATGTCCATTCCCTTAACCACATGAGCTTCAAACTGTTTTTAGACTGGATCACTGATTACTTGGGGGCCTTAACTCTTAGAGAATGTCAGCATTCTTCCTAATTAATGAATTTACTTATTTGAGTATAGATGGTTATCTTTTTCAGAAAAATAAACTTAATCTAATCTGAAAATGCACTTAGACGTGTGAAGCAAGCACCATTATGCATGTTCTTTGTGCAGTCTCTTTCCTAAAATAACATCATTTAAGTTTTATATATATCCTAACCATCTTATGTAAACTAGATATAAGTTCACTTTTCAATATAGTTTGAAAACAAATTATTTATCAATTATGCAATGTTTAAAGAATTTATCAGAAGAAAATTATCTCTTCGTAAATTTTCAATTAATCAAACTCTAATTGACAAGATGAGAGGAAAATTTCTATACCAGCAAAGCCAATCCCACATGTGGAAGGAAACTTATTAGAAATTTTCTTTGTTTACACAATAAATTCAACAAAAGACAGCATCTTTTATATTAAAAAAAAAAATTGCAAGTTTCCTTGCCCTAAATCACCCTCACCAAATCAGTTTTTTGGCCTTTACTCTCACCACCAAACATTAGAATACACATTTTAAGAGTTTGCGGAGGCGGCGCAATGCTCAAATTGATGGTATGATATTTCTTAACTCCTTATTAGCCAGTCAACAGGTAACAGCACTCCTTTCCCATATCAATTAGTATAAGTTGGTCGTTGAGAGGCAATTAATGTCAACTACAAGTTTCTAAAAAGTTAGTCAAGAAATCAATTTTTTATACCATTATATATATATTTTTTACAATAGAGACATGCTATTAATATTTTCATTTTATTATGTTAAGGATTAATTTTTTTTTTCTTTTGTTATTGTTGTTATTGTTATTATTTTTTAAATATTATGCTGTAATAAAAATATCATCAATGTTAACTCTTTTTTTTTTTTTAATTTACAATTGAGGTATCTCCTAAATCAATTTTTATATATTTTTAGGATAATATTTTTTTAAAAGATCTTAAAAATGCACTCCCATGT